AACAGACAGGATCTTTAAAGGTGGGAAGTGAACTTGAAAAGCAGTTGACAGCTATGCAAAGTATGCTTGCTGTGCACCAGACTAATGACATGCAAACCATTGGCATTTAAATGATCCCCATCTGGCTCCAAACAGCGTGACTCATCAAACAGTGAGGTCAAACATTACTGTTTGTAACCTCTGTACCATGCTCTTCTGAAGTTATTTCCTGTTTTATAAATCATCAAAGACTTGTTACGGAGTATAACAAAAACTTTGCACTACATGTTCATTTATACTAAAACTATTTAATACCTTTTTAGGGCTTGTATCACACATGACCTATGCACTGTTTAAAAAAGCAATGCATGTGATGGAACACAAATATATGACCAAACCATAATTTATTAACATAATCTGTCTTTACACAGAGAATATGTGGCAATATACTACGGCTCTGTGGACTAAATGAGGTTATCTCCAGCTAGTTTGACCCTCAGAATGATGGCAGCAACACATGCCACCATCAGTTGTGTGTGTCAGAGATGGTGGTCAGGTGGATGTATCATGATTGGACTTGGAGGCTGAAATACCTCCAGAATGTCTGGAAAAGCCTGAAAGTCAAAACCATCTGTCATTTGAAAATCCTATACCCGTGGCCTGGTATTGTACAAATACATGACAGAATCCTCTCATTAACCCACAGAAAAATGATGGTACTCACTGTCTCTTCTTTCATCATACTGGAGTGCCTCAAAAAGCTATGAAACTCACTGCCTCTAAGTGCTACCTGCATAATACTTTCCAAATGTTCGTGTTTTGCAAGATGAGAAAGAAAATGTCTCTGCTTGCTCCTTTCTCTCTTTTCTGTTACTTTATATTTGTCACGGTTAATGAAACTTTGGGTGTCTCACAAAATGAAATTAAATGAAAAATGAGCAAGGAGGTACGGCTTATTAAAATTCTAGGGTTGTTAAAGGTGCTTTTCTGTGAAAATGTTTTCTAACGTATTTTTAGCACATTGATAAAGACACAGTAGTGTTATTTCAAACTCTCTTTGACATAAAGTGAGAAAAACACCATAATTGGATTATAAGCAGGCAAAGCTATCCTCTTTTAAAGCCACAATAATGCTGAACTTGTTTTCTGTATAACTGCTTTTTGATGATCAAAAACCATGTTCACACTGACATTTTATTGGAAAATGTGTTGCAGATTTGCATTGTTCTGTATCAAGAGATACTCAGATAATGTAGAATCCTAGAATCTCTGTACAATATTGGAGGTAAACGCAGGTCACCATGCTCCTAGTTTGACTGTAAGCAACTTTAATGTACGATTCGGAACAGGGTGAAACAAATATGTGACCCCTTATTTTCCACTTTGTGGTAAAGTGTTGCGGCGGCTTGTTAAGTATTCGGTAAGCTGAGAAAGTTGGCTGTGCTGTTATCTTAAGGAGGACAATAGCAGGTCATGTCACGGTTTCCTCTATTACAGTCTTGTTTCTTATCTTTTGAAAAAACTTCAGAGTTTTCTTTTTCCACACTTACAAGACAACCACTGCCTGGAACACGCACACACAACAGAGGATAGAGAACCATAGCTACTCCTGGGACACCACTCTTTTTTTATGTTGTCCACTAGACTGCTGCTATTGTCCCAGTTTGGGGATTGCAACCGCACTGTTGTTGCCTTCACTTTTCACTTTCTTTTCAACATTCTCTTTTACAAAGTGTTTTTAGAACTTCTTGTTTTCCTTCTTCTTGTTGTTGCTTCATCCAACACTTTCATCCACAAATCGTTGTCCACCACAGTTCACTGTTGGCTAACCATCACTGGTTTATCAGTCTGGAACTGGAATTCGCTGTCATTCCTCTCCTATGCTGGAATTCTTGTACACCACCCAAGCATGGCGTTTTATGTTTTCTCTGCCTGACTGCATCTGATGTCTTCCTCCTTTTCCCTTGTTGCACAGTGGTGTTGAACACCTCAGCCTCTATTGTTCATGTGGACTTGAAATGTCATGGCTAGTACCTGTGTGATGTATTTCAGACCATTGTTTTCAAGCTACCCACAGGCCCTTTCAATATCTGCCAATTTTCTAATCTGTCAGTGGTACATGCCAGGCGAAGTATTATCCGTCAATGATGATGAATATATTTAGCTCACCTTGCCTTCACAGCTGCGCTAGATATATAAGTGTATTTATACGCACACACACACATACACACTCACACACGCACACATATTCGAAATGTGTATATTTCGAATATTTTTTTCATGTATTATTTCTTAAAAGCTTAACTGTAACTTTTTAATGGTTACCTGCTTTTTCCCTTTAATTCATTTTTTATGAGAGAACAGTGTCAGAATGATCAATTAAAGAGCACTGTTATACGGTAGGGACAGCTATAACAAAAGCCATAGATTAGAATTTTGCGTCAAGGCTGATTCATCTATAATTTAGCACAGCAGCTAGACAGGAATATGCATATGTGAGGCACTCAGGATGGAGGACGTGCTGCATAAAGTGCATGACGGAAAACTGACTGTTTCGTGCTGTTAACTTTGGTAGGGGCTTAATCAAATATCCTCTGGTATCAACACAAGGGCTAAACATGGCACACACTATCAGACCTTTTATCAAAACATACTTTTGCCACTAGCAACCGGTTATTATCAGTGGCAGTCGGTGGTTAACCTATAATTGAAAATGTAAGATATTATCGTACCTCATGATACAAAAACAAATTCTGGTCGCAAATCTAAGTCCCTAAAGAGTACTGCAAAGAATGCAGCAGGAGTAAACAGTAAAAAACAAAAAACAAACCTTCACAATGAAGAAATGAAAAATTCCTGATAAATGAAGAGTTGTGTGCTACAAATAAATGGTCACAGCCTGTAGAAAAACCCACATTTGGAATCAAACTTAACTTGATCTAAGAAAGATATCAATGTGTTAATTTAGCAAGGAATAAAGTATCATCATAGGGATTATTTGTGTAATATCAAAAATCCATAGGAGGGGATCACTTATTTCATTTCTATTTTTAGACACGTATCACACACAAAAACACAGATCCATATAAAAAGATCTCCATTCATCCCCAGATACTAATCCAATAGAAACTCTGTTTTCGGGCTCAATTGAAATTCTACATAGAAATGTTGATTGGCGCTATTTCTAATTACACTATATAAGGTTTATCAAACTGTTGAAGGTTAAAGAAAGGGCTAATGTGAACCAGTGAAGCATGGCTGATAACCTGCTCTGTATAATAAGATCAGGACAAGAGCAGTCAGGTGGAATCACTAATGACTGATTTCACTCTACTTACCTTAGTTACTGCCCTATTGCTTCAGCCTGATTTCAAATTCAGCCTATGCAGAAAAGAAACATGCATGGGAATCAAATTTAAATAAAACACCATTGAAAATATAGGTAAACTAATTCTGTTTATAAAAGCATTCAGTATACGATAGTTTAAGGAAAATAGACACGGATGCACAATTATTCAAATATTACATTAGATTTTGGGGGTAATGCTTCCTGGAATGCTTCCAGTCGTGTGTCACAGGAAGCAAAACAATGTATGTGTGTAACTGGTATTTGCAATCTTAACTATTGTCAGTACATTAAAGGAGGAGTACAGTTGACCTAGTAATGAAATCATGAATAAATAAATGAATGAAATAGTACTTAATTCATCCCAAAGGAAGACTATATAATTAGATAGAATAAAATGTGGACCAACACAAATCCCACCAGTGACCTTGCCGTGTTTACGTGCGCGGCACATAATGCCGTGTGACCTCGTTGCTTTCTGCGCAGTCCAGCCACCATGACACTCTCCAACCACTCTGTTTTCAGTCACCTTGTTTCTCTGAAGATTACATTTCTGCTGTGAAAGCAGGTGAGATTACATTCCCCACACCACCAGCTCCCGGAGTAATGGGCTGGAGCTGCAGTGGATGTGTGCGCGGAGAAAAGGAAAGAAAGTAGTCTTTCCAAATGAGTCCTCCTCCGGTGAAACTGATGACAAACAGGAGCAGAGACATAACAAGGTGGCTGGATATTTGCACTTCTCTGGACCCAGTGGACGACACGGACTCTGTCACAAAAAACTGCATCTTGAGGTGAAGGCGAGCTCATAAATGTGAAGCCTGTTTAATGTCGGGAGGAATGAAATTCCAAAATTGCAGATTATTTATCCTGTCTATGTCCAATTTGACAATACCACTAAACTGATATTTGTTGTGATAAACTGACTCATAATTTGGTCTGGTCTGGCCACACTCTCTTCCCACTCCCACGCCCTACCTCTCACTGGCCGGTGATTTCGGGGGAGGCGCTTTGGGTGGATCCCTCACGTTTAACGCACGTCCGGGAGCCTCTGTGCCGGAGGGCGCTTGTTACTGCCGGGGACCTGACAGCAAAGGATCAACGTCGCCCCGTCTGGACGGTTTCAGTGCTATGAAGTTTGCAAACTGCACACAGACCGTCTGCTCGGCTGTCCTGTAGTGAATATATCTGCCGCAGACGCACAAGCACTTTGCAGAGATGGGCGTGCGCGGACACAGCGAGGCGCACATGGACACCGGACTCAACTGTTAGTTCCTCCTCGCAAACCTCATAAAAGGGGACACTTTCCTGTCACCAAACCGCAACTAAGTGTTCATCCAACTGCGTAAATGGATTTTGTAATTGTATTAGGTTTGTATCTACGATGTTTTTACGCACATCGATAAAGTTGATGCGGGTAAACCCAATCACGTGAGCTCAAAAAGACAAACTGCAAACATACACAGTAACTGACAAAAGTTAGATTTATTTCGGTTCAGATTGCAATTTTATATAAACACCCTTAAAGAAGATTGTTGTCAATCTTCTCCACCCGTGACTTTTCCAGAGTCACGCAATAACTCAATGCTCCTTAAGTGTAGATTAAATTAATATACAAACGCGCACACAAACGCACAAATATATATATATATATTCCAAATCCATAGTGAGCAATAATATGGATCCCACCTGCGGGAAAGTGGGGACGGCTTTGGCTGGCGGCGGTGGAAGTGCTGTGAGTGCAAAGGCGCCCAAACATCTGTGGAGGCAGCAGAACCAAGCGACGCTCTCTCCGCTCCACCACGCTCTGGCTGTGCGCAAGAAAGACCGAGTGAGACAAAGAGGCTTTTCGGACACCGAGAGATATCTCAATCCGAGGAACATGGACCGGACTTACGCAGTGGACACGGGGCACCGACCCGGGCTGAAGAAATCCAGGATGTCGTGGCCGTCGTCATTCCAAGGTCTTCGACGGTAAGGACAAAAGGGGAAACTGTTCATCCTCGGCTGGTTTCTTTTTTAATTTCCTCGATGAAGATGGGCGTAGTGAGCTTGACAGACGCGCGAGAGGGAGTAAGTCTTTTGGCTCTTATTTAGTCCTAACTTTGCGGAGGTTATCGACATTTTTTGTCGGTTCTTTAAAAAAAGAAAAAAAATCGAGCCTGACTGTATTAGTACTTTCTTTTGCAACATACCATCCAAAACATTTTTCCACGCTGTGCTGCTAAAGAAAGGATGGTTGAACTATATGTCACAAGCATATGCATTCATCATAAGGCTTATAAATAAATCAGCTGATTATAATTGTCATTAAAACATTGCGTGTAATTAAACTTTTCATTGAAACCTTTTCGAATATTTTAAACGAATAAGCTTAAGAAAGCTTGCAACAGCCTGTTTAATTTAGGTCAGCAAGATGTGACAGACTGGGGAAGCCTGACTTAGTTTTCTATGATCGTGAAAGAAAAAGCTAAATAAAAAGGAGCAAATATACTAATTAAGCAAAATAGCTAAATGTGTAACCCCTGTCGTTGTGGGTAAGGTTCATATTCTCTAGATTGACTAGAAGTGGCACAGTAGCCAGACCGTGGTGCGTTCCCTGTGCAGTGATAAAAGGTGTTACTGGAAGTTAATGCTTTGGCTTTGACCAGGGGAAGGTCAGAGGAGACTTTGATGCGTTGTACCCTGAACGCATCACAGGCTGGCATCTCTCTGTGTCTTAAAGATAGTGTCACTCGCCCAGAGGGATGGATAACACTTAATCTCTCTGGACAACAAAGGGTTATTTTTTTTCCCTTGCTGGCACTCTGTGAGGGAAGGGTATATACAGAAGCTTCACTTAATAAACAGTGATCACATCTACTGAAATGGCACAAATCTGACTCACTTGCGACCGGCAATTTGGGTAATAATAGCACACCTATGACAAGTGCGGGGTCTTCAGACGCTACACGCACATAATTGTTGAAGCCACTGATAGCAGCAGTGCTCACACACACACACAGCAGATACAGTAAAACCTTTTCTCTACATGCAAACACAAAAGCAGTTCCACACTCAGGCGACCATGGTGTGCAGGGAAATGTTTCTGCTCCAATTACTCACTCGTTCTGGGAAAGAAGGAGAAGAGAGAGGGGGGGGCGAAAAAGACCAAATGTAATGAAATCTGAGAAGGTCACCTCAGCTCATCGGCTTAAGTGACTACTGCGGATGTAAGTTTCGGTGGGATGGCTTTCTGTTTCCTCCCTTTCGTCTTTCTCCAGTAAATGTGGCTTTGCGTGAGTGGTGCTCGCCTTCAGGTCCAGTCGGTTGTAGAAAAGGGGTACGGGCTCGTCTTGCTGATGGACAGAATGGTCCCTGTCACAGTCGCACAGCGGTCACAAAGCAGATGGCACAGAGTGGACGGCTGGACTAAAAGACCTGTGTGATGTTAAAATGAATTCTGAAATGTTGAAGGAGAAGCCATTGCAGCTCAGCTGCAACAAGGATCATTCACACACTATTCACATGTGCTTCAGAAGGGAAATTAGGCTACAATTAGATTAACCAAAACAAATCAAATTTCACACAGGAGGCTAATTACATAAGAGATATTGCTCTCCAGTATGTATACTAACCGACACTAAACCAAACATTTGCCTTTTATACCACAGCCTAGGCTGCTATTGGGTGCAAAAAAAGGGCCATTTAATTAATTGTGTATTTCAGAAGATTGTTTTGATGGATGTATGTATTTTTCTTTGCACAGTCATACCCAATAACATCCATTTAAAAATGGATTCCAGTAGATCAACAGCATGTATTCATGGTAGAAATCATAATTTAGAACGCTGTAATGATGCATTGTTCACATTAACAATGCAGATTGTTATGTGAAGCACAAATTCTGCAAGACAGTCCAAAGAGAAGGAATTGAATAAGATCAATACAGCTGCTGCAAAAGTTCCTCTCAGCTACAACTTAATTTACTACCAATCACATTCTGAGTACTGCATAAAATAAGACATTTTTTAAATAATTTTATCTTAGGGGTCTTAACCATTCTTGCATTTAATAACACATCTATTTTCAAACCAATTATATAGCAAAGATGCAGTCAAGCGTTGCCCACCTGAAAATGAAGCAAATTCCCCCTCGAAAGGCAGTAAAGCATTTCGCCTTTCAGGTACTACAAGCCGACACGGCGCTGAAGGTGTGATGCATGTGTTGTTTACACTGAACCCCTGCTTTTGATCGACTGTTTCAATTAACAAGTCGGCAGAAGGTCGCGTTTCTTCACATGAAAAACTCGGCAATGAAGATGTTGCTTGAAGTCAAGGAAACAAGAGATAAATGCTGATTATAACGGGCAGATGCAGACAACTGTTGAGGCAACACCCCAGCGCTAAACTAATGAGAAGTGCCAGCTTACTTGCACATACAGTTGATGGCAGCCTCATGCATTGAGAGCTGCGGAGACATGTTTCCCCGGAGGACTGGTGATGTGGCTAAATGTGCCCGAGCAGCTGAAATGGTACAAGGTCCGGGAGCCCCCAAGGTAGAACATATCACCCAAAATGTGTCACAGTCTAGGTCAGGCCCAGATCTGCTCGGGGCTTCTCTGCAACCTCAGGAAAATCTGGAGCAGTTTTTTGACGAGGAGATGGCAGGTCTCCCACTCTTGTCCTGCTGCTTGCCTGTCCCTATGTCCCTGTGCTGCAGGGGTTTTTTTCTTTATCTTTTTAGAGATGTCAGTGAAGAGGAGGACCATGATTCACTTTCACGGTCAGTCCAATCAGCAATGGAGAGATTTTGGTGCAGTGGAGGAAAGGGGAATTGTCAAACTCAAAATGTCTCCAGAGTAAAGAGGCTGCTATGTCTGGGTGTTTTGTGACCCCAGCAGACTGGGAACTGTACCCCTGCCCTCTACCCCCCCCCTGCATTGGACTAACACCCTCTGATTCAGTCCCTCCACTCTGAATGTCAGTGGCAGAGTGAGGCTTTTAACCAGTATGAAGTGTAACCCCTGGCTGTGTCATTAGATCCCAAAGGTTCTCATGAGTGAGGCAGGGACTTCTGTTGGCTACATGGCTATATATATATATATATATATATATATATATAACCTCAGCCAGTGCCTTAATCACCATTGTGCTGCATTGGCCATGCGATGAATAGAGAATGCGATGAATAAGATACTTTTAAAAAAGCCGAACATTTTGTCTCTCAAAACTCCTTGTTTTAAACTCCTAATCAGTAGGTCACTTTTTTCAATCCCCGGTACATGTGATACTCAAGAACAGCGATGTGTCTAAAAAACGTTTAATTTAAAATTAAATTGGTTTAAATTCGTACAATCCACAACCAATCTGTCATTTCATGTCTCTTTTGTTGGTATATGTGCAGATTTATCCTCACATGTTGCCCAAGGTTGCACAAGCTTTTGGATCCTGTCTTTCATATTAGCAAAATTAATCTTCTTCTGAATTTTTCTATATTGAATACATCTCCCATTATAGAGGAATAAAAAAGAAAACATATCAATGATAGGAGTTGAATCAGTTAAGAAAACCTCTGGTCCGAAAAGGTTTATCCAATTTTCATCTAACTTGAGACTCTGCTTTCATCTTAAGCAAACGTAGGAATTAATTCCTTTTATAGTTGTTCTGTCCATCGTGTTATTGGAAAGTAGCTAAGAGGCTTTTTATTGAGAATCTGCGCTCGGATTCCCTTTGCAGGTTTACAAAAGATGTTTTTCAGTCATTATGTGTGATAAATCGGTTCTGATACGTGGCAGTGCAGCTAAAGAAGCCCCTGACTGAAGACACTCGGTCTAGAGAGTGTGTGCAGTCTTGTCCCAACTTGTGTAACATTTATTTATTGATATGTTCAACTCCGGGGGCTCCAGTGTTGTCCCAGCACAGAGGCAGTCTTTAAATTTTGTGGAGTCATCGGCTCTGATGCTGCTGCCCCACCAGATAGTGACAAAGCAGATTGCAATCTGAACTACAGACTTGTAGAAAAAACACAGTTACCAGTGATGACAAAGGGCCCTTCTGTATGCCTTTTTTTCGACAGGTGCAGTGTAGTTCTTTTTGTCTTTGTCTCTTGTTCCCACCTCTAGTCTTACACATCAGTTGCTGTTAACTAACAAGCTGTGCTTGTGTTTATCACGGGCGGCATTGGAATCCTGTGTCTCTTTTTTTGTTTCGTTAGTTGTGTTCATCCTCAGAAATGAAAGTTACGTGTATGGAAGTTGCAAATTGTGACCAGTATGGTGTGTAGAAGCTTACTTCTTATGTGCCAATACTTTGTGTTGTCAGTTTGCGTGGTGTTTTGGGGGCTTCACATAGCATCTGTCATACTGCCACGCGCTTTCTGTCATGTTTGGGAGATGAAAATGCAAACCAGTCACATCACACTGACTGTTTATCAGTGTTTTTCCTAAATCCTGTAAATCCAGCGGCAGCCTCTGATCGGCTTGTTCCTACACCATGTCATAAAGTGGTGGGCCGGTGTTTTCTACTCAACCTGCAGGCCATTACTGTTATCCTGCCGGTAAGTTGTTATGAAAGTCTGAGGTGTGTGCGGTGTAAAGGCAGGCGGTGATAATGTCGTCCCCTGTGATGCTCTTGCACTGCTTAGCACATTCTAAACACACAACCCTTCATTCTCACAAGTTGTTGTGAAGAAATTGACATCACATGAGGATTTGTAGGCATGCGCCTGTATATTGTAGTGATGCCGTACACAGTGACCTGTACTTTGTCCAGGTGAAGACGTAATGGCATCTTTCAGCACCAGTACCTGGCCACGAAGAAAACTCGTTGACGGTGTCGGATTTTTTTTTATCGCAGCTCGTCCGTTGTCAATGGTGCAACTTTCCCTGACACAGGTTAAGCTGGAACACGTACAGTAGAATCCCACATATCGTGTTCTGGAGGTGGTGGCGTGTCCTGATGCAGAGGTGGATGTGTGTGAGGCTGCAGCAAGACTGCCTGAGGAGCAGGGAGGCATGTTGGAGGACTATCTGGGAAGCTGTGGTTGTAGGTTTTTTTGAAGACTCCAGCTATCATGTTTTGTTAGACTTTATTGCTATATATCAGTTATCTCATTTTTAAACAGAATTTATTTTTCGCTGTCCCTTACATTCTTGTTGTAATGAATGGATTCTGTGACAAATGTGTGACAACAGTCATCTAAAAGGATAAAAACACAGCAGCACATACTTTTTCTTGGTTTTAAGTATATGAGGCTAAATGCATTGTTAAATTTGTGTGGATGCTGCCAGTAAAGTGTGCTCAATGTACACACGAGAGTCAAAACAGCTCTTTTTGGGTTAGTAAGAGTGAAAAAATACAATTATTGTGATATATGAGCTACCGCTCTGAACTTATGTAGCACATGAGTTGACAACATAAATCTATTTTATTGAGTGCCAGCAACTTAGGTGTCAGAGCAAGGTTGCAGAAATCGCTTTCTTCATATTTAGGTCAAGAGTAAGAGGTTTTAGTGACTTTAATAAATCGCTGATGTCTTTTCACACCTGAAAAAGAAAGGACAAGGCTCGGCTCGCCAACCTGAATGCACCGATTCATCTGTCAAAGCAAATCGAGTCTGAAATAAATGGAGACAACTTGGATAATTTTCTTTAAATAAATGTTTTATTGCACACATCCACTATTGTGCAACACTGTGCTACGGGTCAGTGTGTGCAAGTAAGCTGTGGGGAAATAATATGACCTATTCTCTCTGTGGAAGAGATGGATCTTCCAAAGAGATGTTGAAATCTCAAGTAGTAAGTGACCCCATCAGTGTATGGGAGAGGAGAGGGTACATTTTGCAGGCAGGAACAGGCACTTGCTTTTCATGGCACTCCCCTGGTACTATTTTCCTCACTGGTTGTCCGCTAGGCTAACAAAATGCATGGAAATCCTTTTATAAGGACAGCCATCTAAAGGATTATAAGGCAAAGAGTTTTTAGGCTCCTGGGTTATTCCCTGAGGTCTGAGCTGGCTGTGCTGCTCTGATCATAATACACCCTACAGGGTGAGAATGATGGAGCTGAGCAAGTACCTCGTGTTGTGCTAAGGCAGAGCAGACTTAAATAGAATTTCACTCAGGCTTTCTTCATCTAAGCTCCTGACAGAAATGTCACAGAATACAGTAAAATCTAAGTTTATTTCCCTTAATTTTACCTACGGTTATCATCTCAATTGCAGCTTATACTTTGTGCATCCAAATTTTTAAAAATGACAGAGGTTCATTATTGTTATTTTGGATTGGTCTGATTTGTTATACTTTCAAATATTAAGGTTTTGGTCAAAATGAAGATTGAAATGAAGAAAGAAATAAACTAGCAATTGATAGGAAGTTGGAAGGCTTTCTTAATGATATGAGGATTTCATATTCTGCGGTGTAATAAAAGACGCTAATGTTGAAAGTGTTACCCTTGCAGGGGTTCAGTATAAATGCATGATGATTCACTCCTCAGATTGTTTCCCTCAGCTTTTCATTATTGTTCTTACCCTCACCAATTTTTTTCTCTCTCTTTCAATCACTTAGCTCTCCAGAGATACATTTTCGGTCTCTTGATTTGCTGACGCCCTCTCACAAACAACATTGGTTGTTGCACATCAGCTCATCCTAACAAACGGTTATTCCTGGTTTCATACTCTCTGTCCTCCTGTGATTGTCTTCCTTGCTTCACATATGTTTATGCCTTCAGATCCCCCATCCTCTCCACCATCTTGCTCCAGAAACATCATTTCGTCTTGGGGCCACATGTCTTCTGTCTTATATGTCAGCTTTCATCTTAAATTCTGCCATACAATCATCTGAACTAACCCTCTGTGCTCATGAAATATAAAAGTAAGCTTGGAGTGGATATTTGCCTAAACCACCAGCATCCTCAAGAACTACAAAAGCTAAATGAAATATTCTAATTTCTCTGAATAACTTCATGTAATCTAATTTATTTTGTCCTTAAGAATATTTTATTCTCTCTGAATCAAATCAACTTCATCATCACATTGTGATTTAGAAATCTATTCAACAATTATACACGTGTGTAACCGTTTTCATATTGACATTCTAATTAGAACAGGAGGTTGTTCTCTCAGATCATCTTCTATCAGCATCGTAAACAAATTCTCATCATGTGCCAGAGGGGACGCAGTCAGCTTCAACCCCCGGTGAGCCTTTTAGGAATAAATCAGGTATGATTAATATCTAAAACAATAAAGCGAGGAATGAACAACTTTGCTGCAAATTAACTGTTTACGACTGAGGCCACAAGATTGTTCACCTGTCATAGTGTAGAATATTATCAATATTGGTAAAAATGTGCTAATTTGTCAAATGATGTACACTCAGTGTACCGATGGATACAGCTGGTCTGATGTACAGTAGTGTCCACTTGGTTGGCCAGCCTTACATTCACACACTATAAAAAATGTATGTGAAATAAACATTAATATGCCGTAAAATCATGACATTAAAAATCTGTTTTTTGCTGTAATTTTAGGTCTCCTGCAGACATTATTGAAAAACAAACAAATAAAAATGAACAGAATTTAGGAAAGTCGATTTCAGTGGATGAAAGATTATTTTGTTCTCAGCTTTAAGAAATTGCTAGCAGTCACACCCGCCATTGTTTATGGTGTGGAGTATTATAGACTGGGAAAAACACAAGGTCATCTGCAATCTGCATTTCCATAGTTTCCCTTGAGATTTCCGGAGCATTAGTCCATCTGACAAGGCATGCATTTTTAATTTTCCAGTAATGCAACTTTATTCTCGAGATTCTCTGTGGGGAGAAGAACAAGCAAAAAAATTAAATGGGCTTTTTTGTTGTAGTTGTTTCACAATACTTTTCATCTTTTTAGCTGCTTTCTTTAGTGATTTCGATTTGTTTAATTGTCCGATTTGTACTCTTTAGTTCTTTGTAAAACTGACACATTTTTTCCCACATAAAGCTAAACGTACTGTTTACACATTCCATGGCGATCTGCTGCATCTGCAAGACAATTTATGTGAAGCAAAACTCTAAACAGCAAAATGGAAAAGCTAGACATTTTAATTTAGCTTTTTTTTTTTCAAACTGTGAAGTGTCAAGCAGTTTTTGTGATCCCTTTTAATGAAGTTAAATATATGAATTCAGGATGAACGAGAGAAGCATTTAGTGAAGATTGCACCTGTATTCTGCTTTAATCGTCTAATACCACAGGGTGCTGAAATCTGACACTGAAGAGATTTTCAGTTGAGCAGCAGTTAAAGATAGTGACTTGTGAATCAGTTTAATGTGACTACAGGGATTTTACTGGCTGATAGAGCAGAGCAGCTAGATATCCTTATTTACAGGAAATGGTTAGCAGCATGAGGATGAAGAAATGGCTCCTATTCCACAGCCATTAGTAGATGTTGTAAAAATCTCTGTCCTTACATCATCATTATAGAGATTAAGATTGGATGTAAATCGCTGGGATTATCTAGTGTATTTTTTCAAGACGTTGCACAGTGATCAGCCATCTTAGATGATCTTTGTGGATTCTAAATTGACATTTGTACCTCATTATTCTATACGATCCATTTCTTAATTCATCAATCTGTTATCTATGAATATGGATAACAAATTTATGCATCTTTGTGATTGTTTTACTTTCCAGAAAAAATATAACTTCAGGAGTTTAAAAAGGTTAACTTGAACCCTCAACAAAAATCATTTTCTGAAAGCATTTTTCTGAAAAACAAAAATGTTCTTGACTTTGGATAAAAAGGCGGACCATTTGTTTTTTGACACATAAACACACCTTTTGAATGATTTATACGGTGTAGTATGCATGCTCAAGCTGAACTTCTCATTTAATTGAATTGCAGAGCACCACCGTCCTTTCTTGAAAATAGATTTCAGCCTTTCTGTGTTTTATGCTTATTTGCTGTCCCCATTTGAGTTCCCCATTCTTCTGAATTTTCCCAGACAAACATTATTTAACCATTAAGAAAACCAATCTTAACAGCAAGTACATTTTAGCCTTTTCTGTATTGTTTTCTTTCTTTTATCCATTTTTAGAGGCGGACAAAAAAGTTGATCTTACCTAAGCCACAGGGAGGTGATCAAATTTTCTGTGATGATATATGTTCATGTTTATGCATTTAGCAGACGCTTTTATCCAAAGCAACGTACAAAGTAAACACAATATTACAGTTATCATCAATATGACAATAAGTTCTCTAGAGGAAAATCCCCGGTCAGAATCAGTGGTGACAGCAAAGAGAGAGAGAGGGAAGGGCAGAAAGAGATGTATAATTGGTCATCTGTATAAATGCTCCCGTCTTTCTTCTGTACAACTTGACAAAATGACAACAGATAATTTTCCACCAAACTGTGCGCTTCTTTCGCACGGAGGGTGGCTAACAACCGCAGTACCAGAAACTGACACTTTCACCTTTCTAAGACTGGGATTCTTGACAGCCCACCGTCAACAGTTTTTCAGACATGTCCAGAGAACTCTATCGGTCTCACAGTCAAAGAGAGGTCTTTTTGAAAAATGTGTAGAAACTGGTGAGGCCATAAAAGATAATATTTACAGTGGCTTCCACTCAGCAACTCTTGGCATTGACTTGTATTGTCAGTATGTATTGCACAGTCTAAAAGATAATTGTACATGAAATTAGATTTATTAGCAGAAATATGGTACAGATATGTCTTGTTTTAAGGTGAACCCTAATCTGTTTGTGTTTTCCCAGAATGCATTTTGTGAAGGTCACATTGTTCATTTGGGGAATAGTCGCCATGGCTACATTATTTAGAGGGGTGATTTCATTAGTGATGAAGTCTCATGAGGATGCTTTAAGGACAGTGAAGAGAATTTAGAAAAGGGAGATTATTTGTGTCGAGTAGGCAAAGATGAGGAAGGTGGTGCCTAAAGCAGCATTTATCTTAAGTAGGTGCTCACGTTTTGAAGACACACTTCAAAATTTGGCTTCATGTGGATGGTTTTAGTTGTCAAAAATATTTGTACAGACTAAGAGCCGACCAGCAGTTTGTGGAATCACTTTTCTGAAGTAGTGCTACACTCATTAGCGAGTGATGGGTTTCTGGTGTTTTTATTGCTCCCAACCTAGAGGAAGACCTGAATTTGTTTTTCCACTGCTGTAAATATTTTTTCACTGGAGATTCACCACTTGGTCGGATGGCGACTGGATTTAACTGGCCTTGGTTTTTCTTTACTGCCATTTCAGATGTTACCGATACCACGCTGATTAAATTCTATATAATTCATGAACTGCATGATTATTGATTAGAGAAAAACTAAAAAAATAGATATATCATGCTGTCAATAGCTCTTTTCAGTCAAATATGGAAAAAAGGAAGTCCATCTGCTGCCTGGTCATCTTTTTCCCCCCCCCCACCCATTGTCCTTTTTAAATGAGTGTGAATGTTCCTGTTCATGAGTGTGCAGTGCACATTTCATTCACTCATCAGTTTACAGCTGAAGGGTACAAAGAAATATTGGATATGACACAGTAAGATATAGCTGCTACACAATGATTTGTATGCCTGGGTCTTTATCTTGTTATTTTTGACCATTTTCAGCTCTGCAGAGCCAACAATAGAAATGCAAATGAACAGTTTAATTACTTTACTGGAAAATTATAAAAATGGAAGTGTGTGTTATCAGCATAGTTCTAAGTAACAGTTAAGGTTGCTGTGTACCAAGGGAAAAAAATAAACTGCCTAACAGAAAAACGGCTTGCTTAAATGTAACCACTTATATTCTTAAGGGTCCACACAATGAAAGTGAATTCATAAGAATAAACCAGTAAAGCCAGTAGGATGGTCAGGTCACATTTGCCATATGCTTGGTCAGATCTGAGCGGAATGAGGAGGAGGACTCCTGTAGTGTTGTAGTGCAGCTGACTGAGATGTGATGCGATCCTATGCTCTGCTAAAATGGCATTAAATGTCCTCCACTGAATAGTTAAGGACAGATATACTTGTGTTGGACTGCAAAATGTATTGAGCTTGGCGGTCTTCCCAAAGGCCCTTTTGTGATAAACTGAGGCAAAAAGAGAGATAGAGAAAATGT